TTTTGCCAAACGGCCTATCCTTTTGTTTTCTGTTTTTTTTGTTCTTCTTCTACTACTTTTTTTTGCCTCACCTATGTAAGCCGTCTAAAGTTTCCAAGTCCTGGCTGCCTTCTGTGCAGTCCTGGCTGCCTTCGCTGAAGCTGTCCCAATTTCCCTCGCCGCTGCTACACGCGCTTGCATTAAGGCATTGAGCACGAGCACTTTGTATAATTTCTTTCCACACTTTTACTATTTTCTTTTTCGTTTTTCTGCTCCTGTTTTTTGGTGCACTACTTACGACACTTTTTTTTGAGAACTTTTCTTAATTTTCTTCCACAATTTTATTTAATTTTTTTATGCACTTTTTCCAGTTGTGTGTACAATAATGCTGTTGCTGCTGATGTTGCTGCTTCTTCTACTTCCTTTTTTTTTATGCCACAACCTTTTCCTTCTTTGCTTTTTTCCTTTTGCTGCTTCACTTGCTCACTCATTCAACTATACATAAACATACATACATATCCACATATGTATATTATATACTATTTATGTATTTTAGCTGAGTTTTATATCGGTTTTATTAAAACAAATTTTTTGGGGGAATTTTCTTGCATGTAAATTGTTATTTTTTTTTTATTGAGCCTTTTTCGCTGCCCGTATTGCTTTCCGTTTACACGTTTCACTAGTCCGAAAATCTTTTACTAACTGTCGAAACCGTTAAACTAGCTGCCAAAACAACACCTTTCTGGCAGTTCGTCTTCTTCTTGCTCTGCTATTTTCGCTAAATACGTACTCGCCCAACGCACAGCAGCCATCGCTGTCGTGTTGACGGATATAAACAATTTCATGGTAGCGATGTTTACTTTAAACGCCATCGTCATCGCCATTGCGTCACTGGCGACCTCTGTGCGTGCGGATTGTCAAGTATAGATGGCGCGTAAAAGGCTTTGGGCTTTTTGACTAGAACTCAGTGGCGTCGTATAAATTTTTATTATGTTGCAGGCCGATTTCAGGAGTAGTCCACTTGTTTAGGACTTGTTCCGGACTATTTCGGAATTATTTTGGGACAAGCTCGTGATAATTTCGCGACTAGTTTACGACTATTCGAGAACCATTTCGAGCCTAGTTCGGCATCATTTTGGACTATTTCAGGACCATTTTTTGACTATGTGGGTCAGGACTATTTTCGCCTTATTTTGGGGCTAGTTCGGCCATATTTTGGGTACTAATAAGGGCCGGTTTCCAGACTTTTTTAACCGTTTCGGGGCCTGATCATTCGGAGCTATTTCAGCACCATTTCCTGACTAGTTCAAGCCTATTTCGGTACTTATAATTGGCCATTTGAGTCTTGTTCAAGACTAGTTAGGCGTAATTTTGGGAGTAGTCCAGTCCCATTTCTGGACTGGTAAAGGACCGTTTCGGACTATACCAGGATCATTTCGTGACTAGCTCGCAATCATTTTGGAACTATTTAAGGAGCATTTTCGGACTAGTCCGTAATCATTTTGGCACTAGTAAGGGACCATTTCGGAACTGTTTTAAGACTTGTTCGAGATGATTCCGGGACAAGTTCACGACTTTTTCAGAACCACTTTGGGAAAACATCATGGAAATTTTGAAACTAGTGAGATCATTTCGTAGTAGTTCGAAACTAGCCAGGCTTTATGCTTCGGGCCAGTTTGTGTGCAGCTCCTATGTGCAAAAGAGTTTAGCGTCAACCTTACTTGGACGGTCTGGGTGCTCTCACCTCTCTTATGGTGTTGGGTAGTGGACTTCGTTCACATCCAATGTTACGCGGATGATGTTTGACACTTTCCTCAGGTAAATATCTCAGGGAGGTCTGTGTTAAGACACAGAGAATCCTGAATAAGATTGATGAACCAATCGTCACGTACCCCCCTGTAGTATGGTGGCGCAGAACCATGGTCAAAACCACGGTTTCCACAGGCTACAAAGAAGCGGCTCTTCACGCTTTGTTGGATTTGACGCCTCTGGATTTAGTGATCGAAGTGGAGCCAGTGAATATGAAATGTCGACTGCACTCCTTTGGATTGTGGCACGACGATCGGAGTTCCAGGCGCAGAGAGTTGTTTAGAAGGTTGTCAGAGCAATACCCTTTGTTTTTTGGGACCTAAAGACAAAATGATACCTGGAGTCTCCTTTGGAAGAAAGTACGTCGTTAGGTGTCCTACAAGGGAGTAATGTAAAGCTTGGTGAAAACTTTCTATACACCGACGGCTCAAAGACTTAAATTGGTACTGGAGCTGGATGGCATCTGGACGGAAACTTCAGATGCTTTACAGTCTTTGCTCTACTGAAAGTGGAAAACTGGGCTCGAATCGTAGCATCCGTTCACGGATCGAAAACGATACGAAAGAAAATTACGTGATATGTCAGACAGTATTAGCTGAGTGGGACAAAGACGTTCACGTATGTCATAATCCGAAAAATGTGTGTTTTACGTGACGTGTAGTACGATATCGTATGTGACGATTCGAGCCTTGGATAATTGGCGCGGATAGAAAATCAGGATCGGCAGTCAAAGCCTGCTCTAAAGGCCTTGGAAACCGCTCGAAACTCTTCAAAGATAGTCCGGGAATTCAAGTTGAGGCTGAACTCCGTTACAAGGTGGAACAAGCTTGAACCTGTGTGAGTGCCGGGCTACTACGGTGTTCAAGGCAATGAAGTGACTTATGAATTGGCAAACTCTGGTTCTCTTGGCCGTCCAATTGGAACGGAGCCAGTTTTAGGGCCAAGCGTAGCGAGAACGATTGGGTACATCCAGGATCTCATAAATAAAACTTATGATAGCCATTGGTGCGACATTGACACTTGCAAAACAACCAAGTGTTTCCCGAAAAGGCCTGACAGGGTAGTAGCACTCCTTCTCCGAAAAAGGAGTGATCTACGAGCCCTAATAGGAATGATACGGGCCACAACCCATGGGGATGACATATGGTCACCATAGGCATCATCGCCTTTTTTGTTTTCGGTCTCCCACAATTCCATTCGGCCTCCCACAAAGCATTCGGACACTGTCCGGAGGTGTATGAGAGTAGTGAGATACAGTGGCCGAACTCCTGGCTCTTTGAAGTGTGGCTTTTATTATCAGTCTTGTGTAATATATACACGCCAATCGCTGATCCAAATGGATGGCTAACAAATCTCGTAGAAGTTGAATGCGGAGAAGAGTTAGGCAATAATCTATTGCCTCATACATATGTATGTGAGACTGAAATAGCGTTCAGGATGGCTGGATCTTTAGTATCTTTAGCGCACTGTAGTATTTTGTCATGATAGAAGGCGGTAATTGAAGAGAGATGTGCTACGGGGCTGTACAATATCTCAATAGCTTAGTCTGTGTCAGTCCATATACAAAAATGAGTACAAAAAAAAAAATCGATTTCAGGTGCCACATTCAAAAATTCGTTACATACATTAAATAAATAAAATATTATTTTTGCTGACCTGCCCAGGATTACTGTAAAGAGTTACGTACTTTGAAAAATATATGCTACGAGGCGAGAATCTCAGCTTTTGTTTTTAACAGTAAATCGAAGCATCAAATTACTCACTTTTCACGCCGGTGTATTAACGAAATTTTTTTGGTTTTTGACCAGTTTCTGTAGAAAATATTTTCCCTGATGCTAGTTTTTCCTGCGTATCTTTAAAATGCTGCGATCACAGCTTTTCCGTAGCGGCAACATGAAGTCATGTTGAAATTCGAAAGCCTCTTTATGCTCCTTTACAAGAAATTAAATTTTATATTATGTCCGAGTATCCATTAGCTTTATTTTCTACACATGTATCGCTTTAGTTTTTCATGAAATTTCTAAACAAGCAATTTACGATTTTCCTAATAAACATTTTTTGCAATTTTTGACTGTAGGGGTTATCCAAATCATAATTTATTTTTGTCCGAATAAATTATCAAACATTAAAACCGCCCGCTGTTAAATGCATTTTACACAGAATACTAACAACGGCTGTTGGCAAATGCGCAGCCGACCAGTTGGACGTCTATAAGCTGGTGAAATTGCAAGTTTCAGCTTAAAATAAGGGAGATGAATTAGAAAACAAATATTTGATGTATGTATGTATGTATTATGCAATTGGTCTTGTAAGTTTCATTTCTTTTTTTCCTTTGTTATCTAAATGAAATTATAAAAAAGGATTTACTAATTTTAAAACATAGATTTACTACAATAATTTATAAAAACATATTGAAATTACGCATTACTTGATAGAGCTAGAGAAAGTTTTTTATAAAAAAAAAAAGATTTGGTTAGTTAATTGAAGTGTCATATGCGGCGGCAATTATTTTGCTTGTAAATATGTATGAATTGTAATTTTGTGTTCTTTTTTTACTGCGGTATGTTAGCAAGTGCTTCGTACGATTTTGAAATTTTCATTCGTTTTCAAATGTGGCATCGGTCTTTCTTACAATTTACTATTGCTTTTGCTGCTTAACCGGTATATTATCGTGCCACAATGTGCCCATCTCCAGCGCCTGCAGTTTGAGTATTTCATTCTGGCTCTCCCTGGCTTGAAGCAGGAATACGCTTTGCTGTAAAAGTAAACGTGTTTTGTTTAGCAAAGCGAATTTATTCTTCTTTATGCGACATTTACCTTCACTTCCTTGCTAGTCAGCACATCCATCTTGTCGTAAATGATGGCGTGCAATCCCAGGTCTTTAAGAAATTTGATTGTATCCTTATTGTTATTGTCATCACCCCAACAGAATACTATTAAGCCTCTGCTTTTTGCCAAATTTACCTATTGTAAGATGGAGTATTAAAAAATTAAATAAATAAAAATATTTGCTGCAGCTTTGAATTAACTTTACCTGGGTGGGATCGCGTAGCAAATCCTCNTCCCAGGTCTTTAAGAAATTTGATTGTATCCTTATTGTTATTGTCATCACCCCAACAGAATACTATTAAACCTCTGCTTTTTGCCAAATTTACCTATTGTAAGATGGAGTATTAAAAAATTAAATAAATACAAATATTTTCTGCAGCTTTGAATTAACTTTACCTGGGTGGGATCGCGTAGCAAATCCTCGGAGTGTGCTACAATGCCTAGCAATTCCATGGCACGCGAATTGTATACAGCCATTTCGATGCTGTTGCCCCGGGGATCCAAATATTTTTGATACCTAGTGCTTTCTCCAATGGTCAGGAACATGACTGGATACCGATTTTGCTTAAAACGCAGCATTGTACAAATATCAGGATCGAAACATGAAAACACAATACGTCGATGGCCTGCTTTGCGGAATACGACATTCAATATGCAGTCCACATACAAATTACGATCGATTGTATGCTCGAATTGCTCCTCCATTGATCCATCGTTGAGACGCTGTGACCACTTAACTTCTATGTTAAAGCCTACATGTGAATCAATCGCATCCAAGACATCGGCCAAACGTGGAAATGGTTGATGCTCCAAGAGGTCGTCGTTATGAAAACAACGTTCTTCTCGCGTACGACCTTCAGCAGTGTGATAGACCTGAAATGAAAAGCAAACACCAAAGGGAAATTTTTTAATAAGGGAAAATCTTCGCCACAGCAGCAAGCATTTACCTTCAAGTTGTTCAGCTGATCCACAGTTAGCTCACGCATTGGTAGCTCTAGAAAATCATGTGGATTACAGCTGCCTTTCGCTTTCAGCGACACATAAATCATAAAATCATGATACACCACCGGTACCAAATCCTTGCTCAGCTGCACGTCGAACTCCACCATGTCTGCGCCATGTTCGACAGCATTTTTCAAAGAAGTTATTGTGTTTTCGCGTATCACTGAATCTTTTGTTTTGAAACTTGTGCCGGAGCCGCGGTGTCCCACATCCAAGCCAGTCCATTTGGGATTCCAGTAACGTGTGTATGTAACCGCCATGTCCAACTTAATACATTTCGTTGGTTTTATAAGCAAATAACCAATCTGCATCATACCCATTGGCCGATGACGTGTGGCACAAGTGATTGGCACCTCCAGATTACCATCGGAACGTTTGAGTAAATTAGGCAAAACATACTGATAGCCCAAGTGGTAGGGCGGTTCATCCATCGCTGCTTTCGAACTATATGCATACAAATCGATGAGGTAGGCAGTGCTGTCAAAGTCACCAATTGTCAAATGGAAAATCACCATGTCATCGGGACCACAGGCAGAACCGAACTGTGGTTGCAATTGGATTTGCGATTCATCCCTGTGTAGTACAGCTACTTCGTTAAAAGCAAATGCTGTACTAAGGTCAGCGCCATTTTCGCGAGTATCGTGCGTATCGTTTGAAAGTGAATCTTCCAACGGCGAAATTGTATGATGGTCACAAGTGCTACCACCACCACCACCAGCACCTCCACCAGTGGGTATTGTCAAGTTCATTGGCGTCACTTTAACATAAATTAAACGTCTCTTCATGCGTTGCTTCCAAGTAAATGGGGCATTGAAAAATTTCAATTGTACAATTGTCTCTGCTGTGACCCAGCCACGATCCACTTTTTCAATGCCGTTAAACGAACCATAAACTTCATCGCATTCTCGTGTTTTGCTGCATACTCCGGGCACAATGTGACGTGGCTTCAGATATGTCTCCCAATGGCGCACAATAGTTTTTTCAGCTGTCGGATCGACTGCAACCACTAAATAGCGATACTCAGTGCGTGTATCGCGCGGAATGCTCACATAAATATACCAAGCGTTTGTGTCTAAAAAGGCAGAATAACGTGTTAAAGTCCCGCCCACCGGTGCGGGTACGGCGCCCACTCACCATCTTCTTTCATCATGATTTTACACTCGCTAAATTGCCAATTGCCCAGACTTTCAGTGCTTCCCACAATCGCCAAACGTTCATTAGGCGCAATGTCATGATTCATCATCACATAGAACTTCCAATTGACATGAATCGGTATATCAGGTTGAAACACTGCCATAGACGTTGTTGATGAGGATGGTGCCGCCATGGCATCGCAATCGTCGGCCCCATCGGCGAAAAACCAGCGTTGCATTTTGGAATCTGTTGCAGAGAAGGTTCAGAAAAGCTGGATGGTTTTGCTGTCGCACACAATGGAAGTTTAAATTGATAAGGTTTGCTAGCCAATTTAAATTAGTGCCTTCAAAAATAGAATATCTGTAAGGCATAACAAAAAGAAGACGAAAATATACTTAAGAATAAAAAAGTCAAAGCAAAAGTTAAGAAAATAGGCTGGAAAGTTTATCTGCCGCAAGGGGCTGCTTTGATAATAAAGTGCGCTTGTTAATCTGAGTGTAAAAACATAAAACGACATCGCCTTTACGGATAATATAGCCTCATACGCAGGCAATAAACAGTCAATGTATAATTGGGCATACATTTGTATGACTGCCATAGTCGAGCAAGTTACGCCGTCCGTAAGAAAGCTTATCGCTAGCGCTCTAGCATCTTCCTGGTATGTATGTATGTACATATATGTATACTTGTTTGTATTTTTCCAATAATAAACACAAACAATGGCATTAGTTTGCTGTCGACTCAGCGTAAAAGGCAATGGCGTTGTTTATCAAATAATGTGCCAATGTTACATAAGTAGCATATACGTAAATTATTACTTTAATAAGTATAAACTGAATTGCAGAATCAGAGCCATAAAATCCACACATTTTCAACGTGGTTTTATGTTAAACACCTTAACTAAAATTTTAGGTATTCGAAGCGTTTCAGATTTTGTTTATGCAATCAGCTGTTGCTAAACACGTTCTACGTTTAAGTTTAATAAATTTATGGTGTGACCACCTGGGTAAGGTCATTGTTGTTGTTTTGCTATTAACAATCAATTAATAGTCAAATGCACAGTAATGTGATTCCTTAATGCACCCAATACAGCAGCAAGAAAATACCCAATGCTCCTCACTAACTCACCTGGCAAGAAAAATATAATAAATGTTGTAATTCAAATGAACTGCTGGTAGCTCCTCACAAAAATCGTTCGTTGGACTTTGTCGCCGAAATCATACACACACTCGTCTGCTTTGTATATTTTAATTGATTTTTCTTTCCAAAAAATGATGTTATTGGTGTAGAAGACTTACAGGATGTGTTGGTAATGCGTCTTGGGATAAATCTAATGTGGCCGCTCTGTCTGATTAGCCGAGGTAATATGTGATCATACAATAACTTTGGCTGCAAGTTGGACATATGTTTGCCCAGATGTTTAGGTTGAAAAAGAAAAACGGAGAAAGCGTATACATATGTGGAAATATAGGGGAAGTGGGCTGAAATTTTTTCTCTGGAGTTAACGCACACAAATTACTGTAGCTGGAGATGTTATAAAGCGTGTCGTGGACTTGTGTGTTGTCTCCACCAGGGAGAGAATTTGCTAAGATGTGGCGTAATTAGGATCCATTGCGCTGGATTCCGCTGAGACGTTTTCCAACCAGTTGATGTCACGTAGCTTTGGTATAGAAAGTTTGTAATCGAAAACAGTCAGCCCCTCGAGAGGTAGACTGCCGATTTGTAAGCGCCCTCACTTGATTCCTCAACTAATGTGGGTCAGTATTTACTTAGCTTCCTTCAAAATTTACTCTTGCTCGTCCTTTGTTGAAACACTTTTATTATAATATATTTACTTAATACGATTTATTCTATTACTTGTCAATGTGAATAACCGCGAAACAAATCTCAAAATAACCTCGCTTTACACCAAAAAGGAAACAAACGGGCTCACCAAAAATTTAACAATCACCGTAGTCAATCAATGGCCGACTAGAGAGGTAAAAAAAACATCGATGGTCGTGGCTTCAAGCTTCGATGTTTTTACGAATCCGATGTTAAATCAAAACATCGATGTTTTGGAAAACATCGAAGATGTTTCTTGATTAATTTTTCACCATTTCATTTTGAGCGCGTTTTAAAATTTTGTGCCAGCCTTTAATAGCGATTAATATATACTTTCGAGGAATCATGCCCAATAAATAAATAAATAAATAATAAATAAATTCCCATATTACATTTAATAAATGTTACTTACGTATATAAGTAAGAAATACTTTATTTGGTTTATAAGTATGTAATTTACATACATATGTGTTAAGCTACGTGTATTACGCTAGAGATTCTAATTCATATTAATATTTTAGAGTAATAAACGAACTAAGCTTGTGTTGGAAATATTTTGATGAACTGGTGGCGGGCTCAGTGAACTTTTATTTAACTTAACTTACAATATTTGTGTAAAAAACCCAGTGCGTGTAGTCCCAACGCGCGGAAGAAGTGAAACTTAATAGAGGAATTTCAGAAAGAAAGAAATGTGTCATATACATACACATGTACATATTTTCTAATACACTAAATAGATATTTATTTTTATTTTTTTAACGAGCTTTAATTTTTTATTTTTTATAACCAATTGCTAAGTAAAATTATTATTTTTGGCTGAGAAAACATACATATCTACAATATTAACTAGTAGATTGTGGTAACTAAAGTAAGATATAAAAAGTTTTATTTCAATATTATTTCTAGAAAAACTGCATCAATGGTAGTCGCTAATTTGGTTGTTGGAACATATCTACCAATAACCATTTCCAATGAAAATTTTTCTTTCACAAATTTTGTCAGTTCATCGTACATGTATTCGGCCAGCGAAAA